AAATAAAATCTAAAAAAAAAAGAAAAAATTGCTTCAGAGGACATGGCCACAATCTCTGAAGCCTGGATTGTGGCAATAATCGGCCAGATGCTCACCAATTGACCTCCTCTTCCTGGGTACACAGAAGGCCACATTTCCAAGCTTCCCTTGCAGTTAAGGAGGGGCTGTGTGACTAGGTTCTGGCCAATGAAATGTGGACAAAATGAGTGGCACTTGTAAGCCTGGCCCTAACCCCCATACCCGATTCCATGTTCTTTGTCTCTTCTGTGGTGACCTTGGAAACTACACTTCAGAGGGCAGCCTGTACCCTCTGGGTCACTGCTTGGAAGAAAGCCCTGAGCTGCATCTGATCATGATGTGAGCAAGAAATAAAACTTTGTGCTTATTCTGTGACTTATTTGTTACTGTAGCAAAGCCTATCTTATCCTGACTTATAGAATGACTTACAGGACTCCTCTAATAGAAGTAATATTTGCAAAGGCAATTGCATGATGCAGAAGGTGTCTATATTCAGGGTTATCGCGTGGAGTTGTGCAGGTCAGCATTAGGCAAAGTGGCCAGCCAAGGGGCAAATAGGGACCCACTCTACACCTGACTCACCAAGCCAGTACCCTGATATAAGGCTGTGTCCATAAGAAGGAAGCCCATTTTAAATTGTGCAGTAAGGTGACATGTAGGCTAATGACAGGTTTGTCTGCATTTCTGCAGTGTCGAGAAAAAAAAAGGAATATTTTCTGCATTCTCCTTTCTTTCTCCTTCCTATAGCAAGGCCAAGTGCTGGAATTGTATTTATTAATAATTATATTTTTAAAAAGTAAGCCTAAGAATTTTAAAAAATTACAATGTAGAACACCTCGCCGAAGAGGATATACAGATGGCTAATAAGCAGATGAAAAGATGCACCACATCAGATGTCATCAGGGAAATGCAAATTAAAACAATAAGATATCACGTCACACCTATCAGAATGGCCAAAATCTGGGACACAGACACCACCAAATGCTGGTGAGGATGTGGAGCAACAGGAACTCCTCTTTATTGCTGGCGGGAATGGAAAACGATACAGTCGTTTTGGAAGACAGTTTGTCAATTTCTTCCAAAACTAAACATACTCTTCCCATACAACCCAGCAATTGCACACCTTGGTATTTACCCAAAGGAGTTGAAAACTTAGGTCCATACAAAAACCTGCACACAGATGTTCATAGCAGCTTTCTTCGTAAGTGCCAACACGTGGAAGCAACCAAGATGTCCTTCAGTAGGTGAATGGAAGAACCAGACAATGGAAGATGATTCAGCGCGATAAAGAAACGAGCCAGCAAAAGCCATCAAAAGACATGGAGGAGCCTTACACGCATATGGCGAAGTGAGAGAAGCCAGCCTGAAAATGTGATATACCATACGATTCCAACTATATGACATCCCGGAAAAGGTAAAATCTGGAGACGGCATAAAAATGAGTGGTTGCCAAGAGTTAGCCGGGAGACAGGGATGAATGGCAGAGCACCAAGGGTCTTTAGGGCAGCGAAATGACTCGTTTGATACTACAGTGATGCATATGTGAATCCAAATCCATAGCATGTACACCATCAAGAGTGCACACTAGTGTGAACTGTGGACTTTGGGTGATAATGATGTGCCAACGCAGTCTCATCAATTGTAAGAGACGTACCCTTCAGGTGGCAGGGGTGGATGATGCGGAGGCTGGGCATTCACCAGATGTTGATAATGAGGGGGGAGGGGAAATAGAGGCAATCTCTGTCCCAACCTCTCGATTTTTCTGTGAACCTCAAATTGCTCAAAAAAAAGCGATGTCTTAAAATTACCATATGACAAGGGACGCCTGGGGGGCTCAGTCGGTTAAGCATCTGCTTTCGGTTCAGGTCATGACCCAAATCAGACCCATTCTGGACTTCTGACCTCCAGAACTGTAAAGCTGTAAATTTGGGTTGTTTTAAGCCTTTCTGTTTGCAGTCATTTGTTATAGCAGCCGTAGGAACCCAATACCCACCGCCTCGAGACCCTTGCTTGTCTGGCTCTTTCTTGTTGTTCAAGGCTCATCTGAAATGTCACCTCTTGAGAGAAGCTGTCCCTGGCTACTCCAGCTCAATAAATATTTATTGCATGAATAACTGAAAACAGAAATGTTCATTTGACCCCCATAAAAGCTGAAGCAAGAGCCCACAGACTAACACCTGTGGGCTGATGTGTTTTATTTGGCTGGGGCTGTGTTTGAAAACTTGTTCGAGCCAATATTTATGGGTTAAAACAGTTTCGCTCGGACATCTCAATTTCCAGAAGCACGTGAAGCTTTCGGAGGAACGAGAGGCCTGCATTCGTGCCTGGCAGAAATCAGCTAGAATTTTCTGACATGGCCCCAGAGTCCCTCCCCCTCCCAGTATAAAAAGTCCTACACTGCCACAGCCCCCACCATGCCTTGCCCCTCGTGTATGGTCTCTGCTTGGCTCAGGCAGGCCACCGAGTTAGCAACCCTGGCATCTCAGCTAGGGTTCCCCTAAATGTAAATATGAAAATAGAAAATAGAAAGTATCAACCAGGAGGCGGGAGGTAGGTATGAACCATCAGATAGAAATTCGAGAACCACAAAATACATTCACCCAAGTAAAAGGCTCACTGGACAGACTGAAGAGCAGAAGGGAGATGACACAGGAAGGTGTCAGCAAACTCGAGAGATCAATAGACATTCTCCAACCCGCACAGCAGAGAAGATGGGAGGAAAATCAACAGTCTTGGGGGCCCGGGGGACAACAACAGCTCTGACGTCCATGTCTTTGGAGTCCTGGGAGAGGAGAGGGAAGGTGGGGCAGAGAAAATATTTGAAGAATCTAATCTCGGGGAGCAGAAGTGAGGGAGAGCAAGGCCGGAAGGAGCTAACCTGATCCACAGCGCCCTAATGAGCCACTCACTGCTGTACCCTCCGGAAGCTCAGTGCCACTGAGGACCCTCGGAGGGAGGGTGTAGAACGTGGCCCAGACTTGTAGCTCCCCATCCCTTCTGGGTTAGGGTTCCTCCCAGGGGCTCCAAGCGCCCAGCAGCCAGCCTGACCCACACCTGGTGCAAGGGACCGTCCACATAACTGCTAAAGCTATAGGGGACCTCAGGGCGGGCTGGAGGCAGTGGGTGGGGGGAATCTATTTGTTGCCTACCACTGCATAACCAGCTACCAGACATTAAGTGGCTTAAAGCAACCTGCATGCAGGATAGCCCAGTGTCTGTGGGTCAGGAGTCCAGAGGTGGCTTGACTAAGTCCTCTGCTCAGGGCCTCCCCAGGCTGCAAAGTGTTGGTCAGGCTGTGTTCTCATTTGGATGCTTGACTGAAGAATCTGCTTCCGACCTTCTCCAAATTGTTGGCAGAGTTCCCTGCTTTGTGGTTGTGTGACCGGAGGCCTGGCGGTGGCCTCAGGTCCAAAAGACCACTTGCAGCTCCCAGAGGCTGCTCACAGTCCCTGCCAAGCGGACTTCCTCAACATGGCGGCAGACTTCGTCAGGCCAGCAGGCCTCTCTCGCTCCAGTAGGCTAAGACAGTCTTGTGTGACGTACTCTAATCCAGGGCTGACATTCTGACACCTTCACAGTCGGAAGAGGGATATGGTTGGAAACAAGTCACAGGGGCCATCCACGCTGAAAGGGAAGGGGCTTCACACAAAGGTATAGAAGCCAAGAGGTGAGAATCGCTGGGATCACCTGAGGGTCTGCCTGTCGCAGCGGACAGGCCTGGGCTCAGCTCTGGTTCCTCCACCCCGAGCTACCACACAATGTTCCCCTGTGGGTGCGGACACTGGGGGTTCCTGGGGAGCTGGTCGGGAGGCGCCCAGAGGCCTCCTTCCAAGTTCACTGTGTGACCTCAGGCAGGGTGCTTGAACCCCGTGCCTTGATGTTCTCAACTACAAAACGAGGTGCGTAGGAACCCCAGCCTCATGGATGGCCATGAGGACATAATGTTCATGAAGGGTGTGAGTTCTGATCCTGCCAGGAAGTTCACAGGTATTTGCCATTCCTGTCATCGTGATTCTCTGCCTCTGCTTCCCGATGGACCCTGTTCAGTTCTCCACGAATGTCCCCCCATTCTGTGGGAATCTTCGCGTCTTGGGCGCCGTGTGAAGCCTTAAGGGTTTTGGCAACAGTGTCTGGTAAGTGAGGAGTGAGCTCTGCCCCTTACTCGGGGGCAGAAGTTCTGTTCTGGAAGTTTCAGATCTGTCCTGTCGTGGCTTCACAATGGAATATCAGGGCAATGCATTTTCCAAGGCATTAATATTTTATTTATCACTCTGGCACTCTGCTGAACAGTGTATATAATTTCTGGGAATAGCCAGGCTTGGTGATTCCCGGGGGCCAGCAGGGCCTGGCCTGGCGCCTTGTCCTGGTAGAGGGGGTCTGTCTCTCCTTCTCGGGGCCTGAGGGGGCTCTCTGCACTGCAGGAGCCAGGAAGGGTGACACGTGTCCAGCAGTCCTGGGCTGCCCCCTGGCAGCACCGTCTGCCTTGGAGAGATATGGCTAAGGCTGAAGGCCCTAGGCACCTTGGGCCAGGGTGGGGCAGGCGACAAGCACGGAAAGGCAGCACCCCAGGGCAGATCTGCAGCGTCTGGGGGCTCCCCACCCCCACCCCGCCTCAGCCCTTGTCCTTGGGGGAGGGCAGTCAGGAAGGTGGCGACAGTTTACCAAGTCCCAGGGCCTCACCGTGAAAATGGCCTCATTCCATCCCTCCCTCCTGGTGAGGAACACAAGACTTGAGCCAGGCAACCTGAGTTTGCACAGGAGGACCCCCCTTCCCCCCCTCGCCAGTCTCTAGACAGTAGTCTTGCCTCGGCTTCCCCATCTCTGAGATGGGGATTGCTAATGAGTTAACAGAGCAGGACCTGGAACAGGGAAGACTCGGCCTCAGCTGTAGCCGTGGGTCTGTCTTGTGCCCCTGCCCGCACCCCACCCCCAAGTGCCATGGGAAGGACAGCTCAGGGGACGAAGACAAGGGACACCAGGTGTCCTGGGCACCGAGGGGTCTCTTTATTTCACCAGCAGCACCCGGTCGCTTCTTTTGTCCTGGGAAGGATGGAAGAGCTTGAGCAGCTGTGCGAGCAGGCCCAGGACAATGCCCACCAGCAGCATCAGCTTGAGCCCCTTGAGGACGGACCTGGCCTTCCCCTTCCAGGCCTCCCTTGACTCCTGTTGTGGTCCGGCTTCCCTTTGCCTGAGGATCTCCGGCACATCCGGAAAGGGCTTGGGGTTGAAGTAAGCCACGAGTTCCTGCTTCACGAAGCACTTGTAAATGGCTGGCTCGAAGACCCGAAGCTGCCTGCCACCGTTGGTGGGTTCCAGAATGGTGCTTAAGTCCTGGTTGGAGAGCTGGCTCTGCCAGGTCAGGGGGATGTCGTTGATTTCCCAGAGGATGGGCCTGCAAAGGAGGACAAGGTGAGCTGCAGGAGCCCGGGGATGCATGGGAGAGAGAGGTCTGGAAGGAGGTGGAGACGGCGGCACCCTCCACCCTGGGAAGCAGCCAACAGGGCACCCCCTCCAAGAGTGCGTGGGGAAGGCGGGGCCAGGCTGGCAGGGAGCTCGGAGCCCCACCCCGCCCTAAATGGGCAAGGGGCATAGGCCTCTAGCTTTTTGAGCCTCCAGTCCGTCGCCTGAAAACTGGGGGTGTCAAGACTGTACCCGCCTCACAGGGCTATTTGGAGGAATGAGCGAGAGACACTGCCTACGTGATTGCTCCCCACCCCCACCCCTGCTCTCCCTGCCTGGCCTCATTCTCTCCACTCTCCCTTGCTCTCTCTCACTCTGCCCCAGCCGCACTGCCTCTGAAGCGGCCCTCCAACAAGGCTGGGCCCCATCCTGCCTCAGGGCCTTTGCCCCTCCCTCCGCAGGGAGTGCTCTCCCTCAGCACACAGGGCGCCCTCACCTTTCAGTCTTGGCAACTTCTCAGATGGCTTCCCTGCCCTCCGTATTTAAATGGATCCTCTCCTCCGCTCCCATCCACCCCCCCCCCCCGGCCCCTATCACCATCTAGAATACCGTATGTTTTATTCATAGGCATTTGCCCCCTCAGACATCACATTGACCCCATGAGGCCGGGGCCAGCAAGCCTGCCGTACTGAGTTGGATAGTGTCCTCGCCAAACGCAAGTTCTAAACCTCGGAAGGTGACCTTCTTTGGAAATCGGGTTGTTGGCGATGTAATTTGTTAAGATGAGGTCTGACTGGGGGCGCCTGGGTGGCTCAGTCGTTAAGCGTCTGCCTTTGGCTCAGGTCATGATCCCAGGGTCCTGGGATAGAGCCCCACATCGGGCTCCCTGCTTCGCGGAAAGGCTGCTTCTCCCTCTCCCACTCTCCCTGCTTGTGTTCC